TTCCTTTCAGAAAACCACCAAAGCTGCCACCTGCTGAGGAAATTATCTTCCAAAAGAATGTAATAAAAAAATATTGAAAAAAAGCTCTCATAGTTGGTTGCTTTTCTGGCCAATTTATTTTCTACGAAAAATATGACAAAAGCTAGTCGAATCTGTAAAGTATCATCTTTAATTTCCACATGCAATCCCTTGAATGACTGCAGCGCAGTGGCTAAAGGTGCAGTGCACTACGCACATAGTCGTCAGTTCGAAGCGGTCCCGTGCCAACTAAGCTTCCATTCCTCCGGAATTGGGAATTTGTGACCAGACTAGTCTGAGGAGTGGTCGCACCGATCTATAAAAGATGGCAACTGCATCTTACGATGATCGGAGTACCTCTAACGGGCTTTCCATGGACCCCTTCCTAAGTTAAGATCTAGTGAGAATCATGATCGAACAAAATTCAGCAGCATTCATGAAGAGTCAGAAGCATTAGCGATCCGAAGACATCACAAGTGAAGTGAAATGGCTCATGTAACGAAAGCTAAGTAAATTCTGCGAAAACAAAATAGACAAAATACAATGTAAGGAAGAGGGTCCCAAAATTTATTTTTACAATGACTTAATTGCTATTTCCTACTATAAAACGATAAAACCAAAGGCAACGCCGTTGATCTTTTCGTCATTGGATGCTTCATGCATCTGACTTCACTCGTTCCAAAGAGTGATTGACTGTATATTTAGCTTTTTATTTTCTGCCTACTATAATTTCGCGGCAGGGTACTAAGCGAAATACAACCACAACGTTGCTGAGATATTTGCAAAACTCTGGACCGCAGGTGGCTATGGCGGGGAACGAACGCGCTATTGTCTTTACCGGGGAGTAACGCGTTCACCACCACACCATGCCGGTCCTTTGTTTTGCCTGTCTCTCAGCTATTATAGAAATTATAGCAGGCAAAAAATAAAAAAGTATAACATTGTGATTTCAGCTACAGCCGCAGCTTGACTGGGTTCTATGCCGATTTGAGCGCCCCAGATCAATCCCGCTGACGGGTGATTCCTGTGGCAAAGATCGATAGAAATAGCTGAGAGATAGGCAAAACAAAGGACCCGCATGGTGTGGTGGTGAACGCGTTACTCCCCGGAAAAGACAATAGCGCGTTCGTTCCCCACCATAGCCACCTGCGGTCCAGAGTTTTGCAAATATCTCAGCAACGTTGTGGTTGTATATTTAGCTTACAAAATGACTTCCAATCGTTCACCGATCAATTAACTCGTGTATTTGGTCCTCTAGAAAACTGACAGCAACATGTCGAACCAGGAGGAAAGGAAGACTTGGTTTAGCAAAGGCAACGGGTCGAACCAATGGTTTCGTATCTTAGAAAACAGTAAAAATTTCTCATTTATCGATAGTTTAGTTTATTTAGGCAAAACGAAAGACCCGCATGGTGTGCTGGTGAACGCGTTAGCCCACGGAAAGAGTAATTAGCGCGTTCGTTCTCCACCGCACACAGCTGAGGTCCGGAGTTTTACAAATATCTCAGAATCATTAAGGTTCGTTTATTTAATTTTGTATTCAAAAAGCTTATTCTCATTGCGAAATCTTGAGTATTAATGGTATTCACCCACTGCGCTTCACATGCTCACTTCTTCTTCCACGGTGATTGAACAGACAAAGGGTTTCTGAAGTTGTGGATTAGAGACCATTAGTAGCCAAGATTTCGCAGAGAATAAGCTTCTTGAACACATAATTAAATAAGCTAACCTTAATGATGATGAGATATTTGCAGAGAAACTCCGGACCTCAGATGTCTGCTGTAGGGAACGAACGCGCTATTTCCTTTACCGGGAGCTAACGCGATCACCACCCACCACATCATACGGGTCCTTCGTTTCGCCTAAATAAACTTTACTATCGATAAATCGAGAATCCGATAATAAATGTGGCACGGTTATCCAGTCAATCGTGAAAATATTCCGAACATTGGAAGTAAAAAATTTCTCTGAGTCGTAAAGAAACATGGCAACTGGCGGTGATCGTCGTTTAAAACACAACGAAGCCAGACTATTTTCTATCCTTCGTACAACTTATGGAATCCGTTATGGCCTACCTCTTTGTTGTAGGCATTATTTAGATAAGAACGAGACAATAGAAAAAAGGATTTTTTGTGCTAATTTTATGGTCAGCATACTTGAAACACCGCTTCGTTCTACTGATAACATAGAGACCCCTAGAAAAAGAGGAAGGTTGTACTGATTTCAAAGTGGAAATCGATAATGAAAATCTTTGAGCGAACGCACTGAGGTGTGTGCTGGTCGGTCGGTAAGCGATGGCGGCTTCCGTGAGATGGGCGGAGCAGCCGTGAAGGCGAAATCTGAGCTGAGCTGACTCTGATCCTGACAGGCGCTTTCCGTCCCAGACCGGACGGGCTGCCCACGGAGCAGTGTGTACCGTGTGTGTAACCCCGAGCGAATGACTCATTTCCTGAGTTATTGGGGTGAATCTGGCCCTCAGCTGCTAGATATACTGCACTATACGAAGAAATCGGACGGATGTGTCATCAATCGCACAGACAAGACGCCAAAAGCAACATAATCGATGTGATCGAATTGTGAACCGCATTTTCGTTGTTTAGGTTTTTATTTACTGCCTATTAATTTTCCATGAGGTATTATATAAAATATAACCACAACAATGCTGAGATATTAGCAAAACTCGGAATCCAACTCAGCTTCGAATCCGCGATTACCCCCCTTTCCGGGGTCTCACGTGTTGCCCACTGCATCACCGATGCTTTTGATTTGCACTTCTCCCTGGCATTTCTTTACGCTAGCGGTGCCATCAGCAAACAACCGTCAACAAGAATGACAGAAATGCTAAACAGGGGTCTTGGTGGTGCAGTGTCTAGCACGTGAGCCCGCGGCAAGAGTAATCACGTGTTCGAAGCAGAACTGACGTCTGTGCTTTGCAGATATCTCAGCATCACTGCGGTTGCATTTTAATATTTTGGCTATCTATTTAGTGCATATTCAATTTTCATGGCAGAGTATGAGTTGAAGTACAACGACAAGGATGTTGAGATATGAGAAAAACTCAGAACCTCAAATGGACTTTGAACTCGCGACAAACTCTGAGGGCTGACGAACTATGCACCACACTAACCGGGGCTATTTTCTTTTCCCTCAGCATTGGCTTTACTCTATCGATGCTTTCAGCAATCATCGCAGCTACTTTCAATATTTTCTATAATCTCGACGTAAATCAAGCAATACCTTGTTTAATGGATAGGATTATACGAGGCTATTATAAATTCTCATTGTGAATTGTATTACCGAGCAAATGCTTATGCTTTCTTCAAACCCCCAACGGTTATAGCCGATACTCCACAGCTGGTCATTGTTGCGATGTGGGTGTTCGCAGTCGCATCGAGCAGATGTAGAAAATCAACCATGTAGGAAATCATCGATTTCTGTTTTCCGTCTTCCCTGAAGTTTATTCCAAATTTTCCGACGTCAGAGTGATAGGGAAGGCTTCATTTCAGCTGGGCAACAAATCGAACGACAGAATACTTGGACCACAGGGCATTATGGATCAAAAAACCGGTCGTACGCTTGTAAAACCGCTTTTCTAATGCCATATGCACTTCATTTCGTCTTCCATTTTATTATTTCAGTGCTACTGCTTTCACTATTGATGTCACCATCAAATCCTTTCTTCCGTCAATAGTATTATTTGATTGGTAATGGAGTAGAATGTTATTTTCACAGGGGCCCTGATTCGAATTCCATCCACAGCTTTCCCCATAGTGTGTGTGCACATCGTTTTATCTTTGCTAACCTCGCCCTCCTAACGGTTTATCTCCTCATCGTGGCTGGGAGGTGTTCCTGGATTTCGGGCTGCGATACACAGCGGGGGATTCACTCTCATGGTCTCCCAAGCTGACAAAGAGTCTGGCGTTCCAATCAGCAAGCTTAGCTAAGAGTAAACTAATAATTTGAAAAGAAAACCTGGCGAAATATGAATTTTCGCTTAACAACATTATTTTGAACCCTCGATTATTGCAGCATGACTAATCGGAAATTCGATGAGATAGATGGTCTAGTACGTTTAGCTATAAAAGATCAGTAAAATCGTAGACCTAAGCTCCATCAAAGGACTGTGAAGATTAGAGACTGATGTAATCTGATTCCAGATTTCTATTGTTCCCTTATTATTCTAATTAGACGAACAAAACAAAGGCCAAAACATTTTTAAGAATGAGAGAAAAATGTGTCTAATCCCACCTTTTAAATAAAAAAACAACATTGTCAAGAGCAATCCACAAGCGATGCCGCTTGAAACCCATCCTAAAGAGACTATTAGCTGTTGTCAGCACTGAGCCACAGGCTTCAGCTTGTATAAATAAATCAAAGAAAACAACCCGAACAAGCCGAGAATACGAAAATATCTTTGTCGTCAATCCAAAGATTCAGTGAGAAATCTTTACAAAGAGAATAGCCAGCGAAAGCTGTGTTGCCAAATCAACACGTTTATGAAGCAATAGTTGTTTGCCCGTGTCAACTGAAAACGGATCACAAATCCAACCGGGTTTTTCCTCAATTGATACTCGTTCTCAAACATTTTCGAATTTCTTTCGTTGCTCATGACTGAACAATCGATAGAGGTTCAAACAGAAGCCGTTTAATCCAAGTTTTTCAACAACACCCGAATATATCAACTATCACGAGTTACTTAAGTGAATCAACAACAAAACAGGGACGATGCAATCAATAAATCTGAGCTTTCTATTGTGATCAAAGAAGGAATAGTAGGGAACCTAGCGTAAAATAACACACCACTAGGCATGCACTCTGAAAACGGATATATGCAAAGGTATAAGGGAGCCCGGAAGTTGTGTAAAACCTCGGCGAAGTAGACGGAAATAACACTTACGATTAAGAGTACTGGATTCCCACGAATGGAACAATCCGAAGGATACCTGATGGAATTCTGAACTAATCGATAGAAAACATTTAGCCTACTCATAATTTTCAATAGGAGGGCAAGTACAGACGAGGTTTCGATCCCCATACTGATCATCAACACGACCAACAGATGGCCATAACTTGTGATGACACCATGGCTTCGGAAATCCGGCCATCTCACGGGAATACGGCAGTTCCCAGTTGTTCGCAGCCACTTTTGCTAAGGTGTGCGGTGCCATCTGCAATTAAATAGCGCTACAGTTGAGACAGATTTAAAACGTCTAAATTGATAAGGTGTATTATTTATTCCACATTATTTAACACTTTTACTTCAAAAATAAGAAAAGGATAAGGTTCTCGGCTTTGATCAATCGCTGGGGATGCGCCATGCATTCGACTTCATTAAGTCGCGTTGGAGATGACTGAATGCATAGCTGGCCTTTATAATGACTCACGGTGGCCTACCGAGTATCGAGTCAGTGCTGCTATCCTCCCAGACAAGTCTGGTAGACCCTAGAGGGATGGAAGGCTTGGTGGGCCATGGGCAAGGGGACCGATTCCACGTGTATGTCGCAGCGGCGCCTCCAACCACTGCGCCACATGCGCCCTCTTTTACCTTAAATTGCAGTTCTTTTTAACTGCATAAAAACGTTGGGTAACAAAATCGCAGTTGGTTCTTCTTGTAGTCAACAATGAAATAGGCTAACTTCATTTACAATTTATGTGTACTTAACACAAACTGGACAAAACGAATGACGCTCAGAAAAGTATTTCACACTAATTTCAGTCATTTGTTTCCGTAATAATAAATTTTCATTAGGCATGAACAGCACGACGGATAAAGGGCTCGACGATGACGAATCCTTTATGGGTGAGTTATGCATCCGACTCCGATCGTGGCATTGTCGAGGCGACCAATGTGCATCATTTGGTACGCAGCATGACTTATAGGAATCTACCAAAAATTAAACCAGTGTTTTTACACTCCCAGAGAAGGTTGGTAGTTTTGGTAGTAGTAAAAAATTCGGAGATTATGAAGAGAAACAGCACTTGCTTAAGTTACAAAACGTAAGTTACTCATAAAGCATGAAACACTGAATGTTTAAAAGAAACTTCATTATGCTAATGCAAATTCATGTATTAAGTTTTGTCTCTTGAGGGTATGAAAATATCTGGCTGAGTAGAGTGAGTGTCAATTCGACTTTTTCAAACTCTGAAGAAGGCGACCCCGCCAAAATATAAGCTACTGTGCACTAATAAATATTACGAATAACAACCTCGTGTTTGATTATCAAGAAAAACAGTGGAAGAGTATCTGGTTTGATCAATGAGCGTGAGATCGAACCAATGACCATGTGTGTTTCGCAGGGTACCTTTGGTCGCATTGTACTACATGCGCTCTCATAATCACCGATAACTCCTAATTTTACCATTTAGGAGTTCCCATTTCAGGAACCTGCCATATGTGGGAAATTTTGAATCGCTTACTCTACGTATTTGTAGCGGATATGGAGTTAGACATGATCAAAAGCGAACATGTATTGGTTATGTCCATAGGTTAACACCACTGTGATCTGTGCAATTCCTCTTAACGCTTTACCACTTCATCGCGGCTAGGTGTTCCCGGCTGTCGGGCTGCGATGTACAGCGTAGGGACTCATCCACTTGGCAGAGTCTCCCAAGCTGAGGAGTCCGACGTGTGGTGGTGACCTGGGGCAGACTTTGACCAGGCTGATCTCAGCACTCCAGAGAACCACAATGATTAGACCAGCAAAACTCCGAAAAATGGAGAATATGCTCTTAAGAATAAGAATAGATACACTCTTGACAAAAAAAGAGAAAAAGAAATGCGCAACAGGATTTGATGTTCTTTGTGTTCCTCAAATGACAACAGCATACTAGTTGGCAGATCTGAAAGGTCAGTCACTCAAACTACTCGGTGGTGATACTCGTGCAAGTGGTAGCTTCCCTACAGCTTTTCTTGATTTTACGCCAGTAGCAAAACTTTATCCTGTAATTAAATAGCCATCTGCTTCCTGAACAAATACACTTCTTTCTGACATGTTATTTTCTGTCCTTCTAACGGAAATCTACATGAAGGAGTACATTCAGCCGTTAAGCTCTTCTGTAGGTGACTTATTCTTTACAACCCCTTATCAAGTGATCTTAGGGGCGCGTGTGGCGCAGTGGACGGAGGCGTCCTGCAAGGCACACGTGGAATCGATCTCCGTGCCCATGGTCCACCAAACTTTCCATCCCTCTGTGGCCGGCAAATTGGCACCGGAGTAGTCTGGGAGAATAGCAGCACTGACTCGATACATCGGTAGGCTACCGCGAGCCATTGTAAAGGCCCATATATGCATTCAATCACCTCCAAAGGGTCGTTAAAGAAGCCGTATTCATGGCACGTCCATCAAGGATCGATCAACGTCGAGAGCTTTAACCTTTTATCACGTGATCTTATTAAATTTTCCATTCTTTAATAGCTAGATCCCCTTTGATCACAATATTAATTACTTTCGTAACACTTCCTTCTCTTTCATACATTTTTTCTCAGCATTTTTTGACTACTACGTCTACCGAACTCCCTAAAAACGAATGTTCCCTGACTTCCCGACTAATATAATGCATCACTCTAAAAACGTACCACCATTGTGTACATCGATATAAATGCAAACTCTTAGACATAACTTTAACTTTCTTATTTACTGCCTATTACAATTTTTCACGACAGGGTATTATGTGTGACCCAACCACAGTGATGCTGAGATATTTGCAAAACACCAGACCGCAGGTGTCTGCGGTGGAGAACGAACGCGCTATCATCGTTATCGGAGAGTAACGCGTGCACCACCACACCATGCAGGTCTTTCGTTTCGCCTGTCTCTCGGCTAGTTCTACTGATCAATGCCGTCAGCAATCACACGTCAACGGGATTGATCTAGGGGCCCAAATCGGCAACGGACCTACTTAATCTGAAAGCGTAATAGCACGTTCGATCCCCACCTGCGGACCAGAGTTTTGCAAATATCTCAGCATCATTGTGGTTGAGTTTTAGGACATAGCTGTAATTTCCCTTCTAAGTGGTTTTTGAGTATTGCTATGCCCTGTTGACGAAATGCATCCATTTTTTCAGAGTTCCGCAATTTGAAAAGATACAGATCGTCACCTTGGACTTTTGCGATTTAGACAGTCTAGAGAGGGTTTAAGATTTAAACGGTCCCTCAGTACTCGTCGTACCGAAGCTGCCGCATGGGGGCTCTTTCGGAATCAGGAGAATGAGGCCCATTCATTTTACTGTGTTTGGCTTCTTTATAACTCAATCGTATAAAAAATTATTGGTTATTGCTATCGAGGTTAAATGAAAGTCTTCTTTAAGGTATCAAAAAAAGATTCCAAAAAAATACTATATACAAAATACCATGTCTTTGCTCCACAGCTTTTTTAACATTGTAGTCCTCTTTGTATCTCTACTAGCTATGTACTTTTTTAGGAGTCTGGTCTCAGTACCATAAATTACAGCACTATCATCTTTACTGGCAGGAGTCAGAGGTCTCGGTCTCTCATGTCTCGCTTTCCATACCACTTCAAAAAAGAAACGGTTCTGAGCACTTCCAATATGTAATACCTTGAGCGGATTTTGTTGTCTGTCCAATACGCCCCGTTCAACCATGGCGATCTCTTCACGAATCGCTAACAAAGCGTCAACGAGTCTATCCATTTCACCTGAAATGAGTGATTCAGAATCATTTTTGTCAACTAAGGTCAAGTAAAATCTAAGTAAACAGTTAATCGCTCAGATTAGCCGACAGCACTCGGAAATTTGAAAGTTCAACGTTTCAAAAAACGTCCTTTACAAAAAGTTTTGTATTAATAAACCTGTGTGAAGCTGCATGAACTGCAGGCAACCACCGTCTTATGTCCGAGGCTGCAAAGAGGAGTAAACGACCTTGCAGAGGCTGGTAAGAGCATCAGTAATTCCTCAGTGGCTTGGCAAGCATCGCGCAATTTGTCTGCTATCATTCGATAGAATTCACAGAACAGTGGACGACGGACAGCCATTAGCAGGCAAGGCTTTATAAGAGTGTCTCTCATTTCAAATAATGAGAAAAAAGTAGAGATGCGGTGACCCGAACTAGTTTGACCACCAAAAATTACGGGAACTATTACATAAGCCAAGATGCTGGAAATCAATGAGGGTGGAATAGTCATGCGTCTCAATGAAGAACAATGTACCCGAGCATTCAGTACTTTGGTTGTAAGGGATGCGGATAGACAACGAGAAGACCAGTAACCCGAAAGTCGTATTTCTTCACGAAGAACTTGAACGAAAAATCTGCAATTTCATTATCTTTCGAGCACAGCAGAACGAACCCGGCAACTACAACAACAGCCAATGACGAATGTAAGTCTTCCTTAGCAATGTCCGGTCGCGTAAATCGATAAACCAGACGACTGATAATGGGGCTAAACTGGTTTCAGTTTACTAGGAAACGTGAAGGTTAAAGAATAAAGCAACAGCCAGTCGATGTCCTCGGATGTACCATGCATTCGAATTCATTAACCGACAATCCCCATGTGGACAATACAGTGTGTGTAGCAAACTGGATAAAACAAGCGTCTGTAAGCCACCGTATCCACATTGAGTTTATTGGAATCGAGTTTTTTACGGCACTCTGTATACTCGTTCGATAGCCAATCGACACCAAATAAAATTAGTAGGAGTGATATCAGAAAAACCAATGTCTACACTTAGCAGTTTGCAAAAACCCTTTTCTCAAAAACGTTTGTTGATCGATAACTTGACTAGCAAATAAGTGTTATTTCATTTTAATCGCTACAGTCATTGTATAGAATGTAAGGATATGAAAAACACCGAAATCGACTCAACGCAGGGTGCAAAATACTTCAAAATTCTGGGGTCAATAGATCTGCACAGTGGGCCATAGAAAAACAATGAATAGTAACACACGTAACATTCATACCCACAGAACGATAGAGCAAAGGCTCTTCTACAATTCTGTCATGTACGGAACTCCTAAAGCACTTCAGTTTCTGAAAAATTATTTTTTTTTTGAAAAAACCAGAAAGTTCGCAGCAGATTAAAAACTGGTCGTATTCGATTGCACAAGCCATGAAAAACGGCACCAAGGTGTTATGGGCCAAGCACTGTAAATGTGAGTGTTTGAAAATTTGGCTCGCATTGTAACCTTCGACAGCGCATAGATATCTGAAGTTAATACTTTTGTCCCACCACACTAGCTGAATATCAACTTCCCAACCACGAGGTGATGGTGGGATTGGTTTGCTCTAGGTGAGTGATCAAACCGAAAATCTTGCGTATACTGCGGGAATCTTAAACAAGTGCACCAAATGCATCGTCGTCTAAGCATGATTTCATAGCAGGAAAAAGGAAAAGAATATCTCGGAGTAAATCGCACGACCGACTTTCTATCAACCTAGACATTAACCAAATAATTCTTTGTACTGTTGCTGAGCAAACACGAGGTGTTATTTTATTCTTCATTACGATGAAACTCACGTTTCAGCGGACATTGCCCTCTTCGGAGCACATTATTCTCCTTCAGAGACGGTCGCCCCAAATACTAAGCACAGTGGCTTTCCTTCGTTGCTCATTCCTTCCACATGGAGAACATCTGGTCATGTTTACTTCGTAGGCAGGTGTATTCATATTTCGATTTTCACTACGCGGTGGCTATCCCCTGCTAGTCCGCATACATTGTGTAGACGTCTTCGTTTGGTGAAGTTCCGAACTTGGTGTTGTAAGCAGCAGGGGCGAAAGTATATTGTCTGAAGAACCAAGACAACCTTTTGTCTTAGTGGCAGTACTTCTTTTGCAACTCAACTCCTCAACAAGAATATAAAGAATTATTTGATCAATGCCGTCAGCTTCATCGTAACACAGAATAAAATAACATCTCGTGTTTCCTCAACAATGATATAAAAAATATAAGGAACAAAAAGAATGTGTTCATTATGTCACTTTCTTGCCCTCTAAGTTGAACAACTGGGCAGCAATACATGTAGTATCACCTTTATCCTCAGATTCCGTTGGTTCAATCATCAAGCAGTCATACACCGGCCATGACATTGTTGGCGAATGGAACCTTCAAAAAAAACTGCAAATATTTACTACACCAATCTACTGATGTTCGACAAAACGTTCAAAATGGAAAATTCGTCCATACACACCCGTAGTCCATTAATCTTTTAGCAATATCGACGACTTCTATGCCCACCGACTTTTTGAATGGCTTGCAGTCTAGAATAAACTCATGCGCCACCAGACCCTGTTCATCTATAAATATAATATTTGAGATTAGGAAGTGTTTTCAAAATTTCGGAATACGTTCAAAATTCTTGATGCGTCCGGCATTAATCAACCGTCTAGGAATGCAAAGCGCAGTCGATTCCGTTCGTAGATAAATTGGATCCATATTTAACCCTACAAGGGATTAGCAGTGTTTCAAGTCAGTGTTTTTATCCCTCCAGATAGGCAAGATATCAATTCACCGAGCTAAAGAGATGGTGGCTTCGTTAGCCCAGGAAGAGGAATAAAACAAACGAACACATGTGTATTACAGAACACTTAAACTCCTCGCTAATCAGGCTGCTCTATGAAATAAATACGCCATAACGTCTTGTAGCTAAATTTTATCATCAGAACCTAGAATAATTAGATATAGTTCCTCTGCCTATATCCCAATTAAGAGATGTTAGCTACGAATCTTTCATAGGTGGATGTCAAGTCCTTCATGAGTGGATGTAAATTTCAATTTTTCGGAGCATGTACTTGACAATTTGGTATCACAAGAAGGGAAAAACTGTCTCCAGCTTAATATGATTCGAGGAATACCATCTTGAAACAGGTTACTTCGGTTTTTAACAACAACTTAATTAATATAATACTTAGCAAAAGTAAACCTTTGTAGACTATTCGGTATGCTCCTTCTAGTCGCTTTGCCATATAGTTTGCATTCAAAATCGCCACCTGAGATGCCTTTTTCAAACCACTGTGGCCCATCATTCGAATATAGGCCCATGTAATAGGGAGAATGCTTAATAGATAAGTTCTATTAGTTCTATTACTCTCAATTTTAGACCAGAAACTAAAAACGATTCAGCGTTATAAGGAAAAAAGCATAAAGCGTTCGGCGTTGATAAATACCTGGACACGCGACACCATGCCTCAGACTTCATTCGTTGCACCATGAAAGTGGTTGAAGGCGAATTTTCCTATACAGTGTGACTTGCGGTGTCCTACCGATATACAGAGCCAGTATTTCTACCCTTTCAGAAAAGTTTGCTGCTGCCAATTTTCTGACATCCGAAGAATGGAGTACTCAGTATCCCAAAGGTGAAACAACAAAACAGTCGATGAGAAGGCAACTCTATCGATTTAATGGCGAAGCAAAAATATCGGTTTCTCTTCACGTTCAGGAATCATATTCTCCAATCTTACTTGAAAATTGCTACACAATTTGCTATGCAAGTAGAGAAGAATGATGGAGCAGATGAACTTTATCTACAGGAAGTACTGAATCGTTTGAGATGATAAGTGAAAAAAATCACCTGGCGGATCCCCATGGTGCAGATGCAACTGCACCATCCGCCCTGCCGCCGACAGCAATTACAGGATGCCCAGGTAAGAATGGTGCCAAATGTTTTTTTCTGTAAGAATATCGTCACTGGTCATCGAACAGGAAAACTTTCTACGATTAGAAGGAATATCCGTTTTAAAACTTCAAATAATAGAAGTGCAAACAACAAGATAGCCTTGAAAGAAAAACTACACTTCGACCCACATACTGGAATTTTCCTAGTTCTTCAAATGATAACCCTTCTATATTCGATATTTTGGTACTGGTTTTCTTTCTTTCACGTTTTATACTTCGCGGATGCATAATCGAATAAATATGACAATCTCACACTCCAACAGGACCGACACCTGGCCCACCACCTCCGTGAGGAATGCAGAATGTTTTGTGAAGATTCAAATGAGAGACGTCACTACCGTAGTCTCCAGGGCGGCAGAGACCCACCTAAAAATCATAACATGAAATACTTAAAAATTGACCATTCCACCGAATCTTATTACAATGTTTAATAAAAACAATGCTTTCACAGAATCCCAAAACAGAAGCAGTGTGGAGTAAAGTTCTTTCTAAGTTGCCAGTAAAGAAGAATAGTAGAGTTCAAAAGTATTATAACTTTCAACAATTAAAAGAAATTGTAAACACAGGGGCACGGGTGGCGCAATGGTTAGAGATGCTGTACAATACAGGGGTACTCGCTAACTCGACGATCTCGTTACGAGCGAAGTAAGCTACCCATATTTCAGAGGTAGGAGGCAAATCCCAGGATCGAAGAGCGAATCAAATCCATCAAAACTAAACAACATTCATGATGAAGATCCTCAAATGCCAATCGAACACGCATAGAAATTTGAACATATTCGTAGGTAACAAATGCCAGGCAACGAAATAAATGAAGCTCCGACCTAATATAAGAGGATAGGTTACATGATAATAAATTAGCTATGATACAGAGATTGAGAGTTAAACTAAAGATAAATTCCTTAAAAGACGAGAATGGATTAAAGATAAGAGACCTGAGCGTTCATATTCGCCCCATCGAGATATACTTGACCACCGTTTTCATGCACTTTATCGCAGACATCACGAATTGAAGACTCGAACACTCCGTGAGTGGACGGGTAGGTGACCATAATAGCGGCTAACTCGTCCTTGTACTTCTCCGCCTTAACATGGCAAATGTGCGACCTTGGTGACCTCTACTAATTCCATTTAGAATAACGAACTTCCGCACTTTCTTATTCTATACGTTACTTGATTTTTTCAACTGTCAGTAAAGCGGTTAAGGAGAACTTCTTAATGAAAAAAAAACGATATTTCTACCTAGCCCAAAAGTAATGAGTTCATTCACTCCCGATTCCACTTTGCGACTTTAGTTCTCATCAACCCTCAATTCAGGCTATAATTTCTTAAGCATTAGGTTTGAAACTTAAATGAGGGCGCGTGTGGCCCAGTGGTTGCAGGCGCTACTGCGACACACAAGTGGAGTCGATCCCCGCACCCATGGTCCACCAAGCCTTCCATCCCTCCGGGTCGGCAAATTGGTATCAGACTTGTCTGGGAGGATGGCAGCACTGGCTCGGTACATCGATAGGCCACCGGGAGTCATTGAAAAGGCCAGATATGCATTCAATCACCTCCAACGATACTTAGTGAAGTATCTCTGAGGGGGATTGATCAACGCCGAGAGATTTATCCTTTAAGTTTGAAACGACCAGATTGAACCTTATACTGAAGTAGTATTTCTCAATGCGGCAGCCCTAAATATTTAGAAAATAAAACCTATAATTTTCGTCGAACCAAATGTGACGTAAAGTGAACCTGCAATTGTGCAAATACCTTCTCTTGGGGGCAAGAATTCGTTAACGCGTAACTGAATACGTGCATTGGTTCAAATGCGTAAACCTCCTTACTACTTAACTAATTTCGCGACACTCGGACGATAGTTTATCCGACACAGCTGCACTGCCAGAAGTGATTTTTGAAAAACTATCCGCTACACTTAGTATTTTGCAAAGAACTTTTTTAAGGACCAGTTTTTCAATGCGCACTGAAAAATGAGGCGTAGTTCTAAGTGTTCTTAGATCTATATTGCTTTTCTTCTAAGATATCTTGCAGAATATCTAAATGGATTTACCCTGCGACAGTTGTTTACTTTCTCATAAGGTTTTTTTGTCATAAATTTCATGACTTGAATGTTTAGCTCCTCAAATGTGAACTACAGAAATGGACCATAAGAGAGTAATAGAGGAAGACCATTTAGTCCCAATAAAGTTTGGTATACCAGAAGCCCGTAGAAATTTTTCTACATGCTAATTAGATCGTCAATTATAAGTAATCAAACAATAGAAAATCAATTGATAGTATGAAGTGCTGAGATATTTGCAAAACTCCGGACCACAGGTGTATGCAGTGGAGAACGAACACGCGCTGTTGTCCTTACCGGGGAGCAGCGCACTTCACCACTACACCATCCGGGTCCTTCGCTTCGCATGTATCTCAGCTAGTTCTATCGATCTTTTTGCCATCAGCAATCACCCGTCAACGGGATTGATCTGGGGAGCCAATATCGGCATTGAACCCAGTTAAGCTGAGGCTTCGTTATAATCACAATCTTAACTCCCCGGTAAGGACAACAGCGCGTGTTCGTTCTCCACTGCATACACCTGTGGTCCGGAGTTATGCAAATATCTCAGCACTTCATACGAGTTATATTTCACAACATACCCTGCCATTAAGAAGAAAAAGGCAGTAAATAAAAGAGTTAAGATTGTCAATTGATAGTGTTTCAAAGTAACAGTGCGAAGACATAAAGCTTCCAGATCAAAAAATTCCTAACATTTCCAGAAACGATCCGCTGGCGATAATCAAGTTAGAACTTTGAATTTAGCTTTCATGGACACTGAAGCCAAAAAACCAAAAAAAAAAATGAAAATAGGAATATGCCTTGTAGGGTTCACCCACAATTTTTCAAAGTTTCGTGAAGAGTCGTCGCTAACCTTTGCAGCAAGGTCTTTGTAGTTGACATTACCGTGTCGATCGGAATCCACCACTACAACCCTCATGTTCGCCATGTTTGCCGATGCCGGGTTTGTTCCATGCGCTGACGTGGGAATCAGACACACCTACATATATAGACCAATAATACAACTTTCCATTCAATTTTAACTCGCACTAATGATTTTGTAAGCTTTAATGCAATCAAATTTTTCGTTCCCCTTGTTTCCACGTAAATCTGCTCCCACATTTCAATAGGAATTCGTTCCCACATCTATGGTTCTCTGGTTTATCTCACCACTGCGGTAGCAATCGAATGTTTTTGGATGTCGAAAAACGACTGAAACAAGTGACTCGTACCTTAGCAGAGCTATCTGAAGTAAGGATTCTACATTCCTAACCGAAAGCAAAGCTGAGAATATTCCCATAAATAGTACATTCAGAAGAAATATTATACGGAAAAATGACGAAATATTATACGGAAAAATGCTCGAATGTTCTGCATACTCAGCAGACTTTGCAAAGCCGCACAAGTTTCCCCTTGCAACTAGATCGCTGAAAACTGTCTAAAAATTTTACGAGATCAACATTGAAAGAACGTGATAAATCCGTGGTTGAACATTGCTAATCATAGAAAGTTATAAATTTGAAAATTTCCGGAATCCACAAAGTCCAGAAAAGGTTAACGTTCAACGTACATTCCTCTGTTCCTGACCTGAACTGATGTGGAAGTTTCGGATGGCAAGCAGACCTGCGTACTCACCGTTAGCGCCAGAATTCGGTTGCAAGCTATAAAAAGATCAACCATCGAATGAAAGGCGAGTTGTTTCAGCTAAATAAGTGCCCGTGAAGTTTGATTTAAACACATGAAAAATCGTTGACCGTAACAGTGTGAATAAAAACTGACTAACTAAATATGAACAGAGATAAGTAGAAGAGAACAAATAGAGGCTCGAAACGCGCAACTAGAGATGTTACGCAGCAATACAAGCAGTGCCCGTGTTTCTGCACATTCTCTGGATCAGTAAAGCCTCCCATCACTCCTGGGCTAGGCAAATTGGTATCGGACTTGTCTAGGAAGGTCTCAATCTGATACACAAACGATTTAGTAGCGTTATCACAGTATTCCAGGTAGGAGCAACTTGATCAGAATCCAGTAACATTGATGAAGACAAAATTCTCAAGTGGCAACCGAACTCTCGCCCAAATTCAAAGACGGGGTGAATGTTGGATTCGACACAACAAAGCAACTACAAAAGTATTGGCAACCTACAATATGTGAAGTTGGGTCATATAAAATGGTGTAATAATATAAAAACGGCTCCTTTAAGGTCCTCTCAACGGTTTACCATCTCATTGTGGCTGGGTGTTCCTGGGTGTCGGATTGCAATGTACAGTGGAGGTTTCGTCTCCCTGCAGAGTCTCCCAAGCTGAGAAGAAGTCCGGCGTTTCCATCAGGAAGCCTAGCTAAGAGTAAACCAATACCAGGATCCACCACCGTCCTGGTATCAAAGTCGCATGGTGACAAATCTCCTTCTGATACACAAGGGCTGCGACTACCTGGCGTGGTGAAGACGCTGGGTAGACTTTGGCCAGGCTGACCTTAGGATTCCAGAGAACCACAGTGGGCTAACCAGCAAATCGCCGAAAAGTGAGATTGTGCTGGGACCCGCACAGCCACTGAAGACGGATCATTCAAGTATCAAGTAAGTAAGTATTTTAAGGTGAAATAAATGCCATGGTGCATAAAAACTCTACAACTGGTTCTTCAGGAAACAAACCTGATATTGTCATAACCGGTGATTTCACACAACCACTTCTTGAGATCATTGAAAATCCGCTGGTAGCCAATGGCCTGTGAAGTCGGAACAAATGGATGTAGTCCGTTGAAAGAAGTCCATGTTATTGGCTGAAAAAAGAAACGCTCCTACTTATTTACGTTGTCCATACGTAACCACTTCCATAATGCTCAGCCGTTTTTGTCAACTACTGACGTTGAGCTCAGTAAGTATGGGTTAAACGCTTTTTGATGACGTGAGAACTATTCACCCCTTACTGCCACTTTAAAAAGGCTGAGACAAAATTCCCTTTTTCCCCTCTCCCCTGAACGCTTTATCACTTCACCTTTGCTGGTAGATGTCAGAGGATGTTGAACTAACAGCGCGAAGATCGGTACTTGTTCCACTCGTTTCATTTTCTTTTAACTATCATACATAGAAGTGCTCAGTTGGGGTACTCAATATTCATATCGGAGGAAGTCTTGCTGTTCCGTGGCTCCAGTTTCTTAAGGACAAAAGCAAACTTAGCGATGTCTTGACCCATCTATCCAAAACGATGTAAGAAGTCAAATTTTGCCGTTCAGTGAAGATTTTTCCTTTATGATCTGCAGTCAAAATCAGAAAAATGTTTACATTTCTCCTCAAAAGCCGGAAAAGTCTGTTAATGTCCGCATGACCCTTGGTGGGCACAAACCTTAAAGAATATAAAAATAAAACGTTAATAGTCGATCAACGCCTTAGCATCGTGAATTCGACTCTATTCCTAGCATCGCGGACTAAAAGCATATTTGATCTACATCAATAAGTTTTAGGAGTCTACCGATATATTGGGTCAGTGGTTTATATTGAACCAGACACGGAAGGAGATAAGTAAGCAATCTGATGACATCTGAAGAATGATAGGTTTAGCTGGTCCGAAGCGCTGGATCGAACCAAGGATCCCGCATGTATTGTAAGACAACTTCAATGATGCTGAGATATTTGCAAAACTCCGGAGCGCAGGTGTATGCAGTGGGGAACGAACGCGCTATTACCCCTTCCGGGGACTAACGCGTTCACCACCACACCATGCGGGTCCTTCGTTTCGCCTGTCTCTTAGCGAGTTCTATCGATCTTTGCCACAGCAATCACCCGTCAGCGGGATTGATATGGGTGGCCCAAATCGGCAACGGACCCAGTTAACCTGAGGTTCTAGTTATAATCATTGCTGTGATTGATGTGGCAAAGATCGATAGAACTAACACTGAGAGACAGGTGAAACGAAGGACCCGCATGGTGTGGTGGTGAACGCGCTACTCCCCGGAAAGGACAATAGCGCGTTCGTTCCCCACTGCATACACCTGCGATCCGGAGTTTTGCAGATATCTCAGCATCATCGAAATTATATATCGCAACATACACTGCCATCAAAAAGAGTAGGCAGTAAGTAATAAGTTGAAATATTGTAAGATAGTTCTAACGAATGAGCCACGACGCTCACCATTTCAAGCCATGCAGAAATTAATTATGACATGTCATGTAGAAGAAGCTAATTGACACCCTTGACACTTGAACGGCTCGTCCTCACTGGTTGTGTGCGGGCCTCAGCACAATCTCCATTTTTCGGAGATTTGCTGGCTAAGCCATTGTGATTCCCAGTAATCCCGAGGTAAGCCTGGCCAAAGTCTGCCCCATACCTTCACCACCACAGGCAGTCGCAGCCCTTGTGGATCAGAGGGAGATTTGCCACAATGGGACTTTGATACGAGGATGGTGGTAGATCCTGGTATTGGTTTACTTTTAGCTAGGGTTCTAGATGGAAATGCCGGACACCGTCTCAGCTTGGGAGGCCCTGCCGGGAATGAATCCCCTCCCTCCCCGTACATCGCAACCCGACACCAAAGAACACCTCCCAGCCACGATGAAGCGGTAAACCGTTGGGAAGGAAGAAACTACTACAAAAGTAAATTCGAAACTACTTCACTTACAATAAGTTCCGCGCTCGCATTTAATTTCATAGTGCACGATCCGAGTGGTATCATTGATTGTGCCAAAGAGACATCTTTGTTCTCCAATCGCTTAATGTATCTGAATAAGCAGGTTTCTTTGAAGATGTTCCAGAACTTCCGAGAACTCTGCCGTTCCCTCTCATCTTTCTCAGTTCTTACCAGAATTTAAAAAACATCTAATTTCACTTTAGTATTAGGTTGTTCACGAAATGATATATAATATTGCAAGGAACAAAGAGCATTTCATTAATAAAAAAACATTAAGACAACAAATACTTTAAAACGCTCATTTATTTCTGAACAACCTAATTCAGAGTTCTGCACCCAACTGACTGTTCAAGAATACTCTTCTACAGCGCTAACATAAAGTATTCCGCTTTTTAAAATTGAAATACTGCTCAGTGTATTGAAATAAACACGTAACTTACCTAACAAGCTGAGCTTCACTATGGTAAGAGTTAAAGATTGGATGTTCGAGGAAGAGGCTTGTTCTAGCGTGCTCGCTGTTCCCAACCAGTGGAGAGGACTTCTCCGCTACAATGTCGGAAACCTCTTCCTTAAGATGCAATAATTTCACCTCATCGAAAACTGCTACACCATTTTGATTAAATGAAACAACACTGTCTACGCTACACCAAAAGTGTCGCACTTAAGTCCCCTTCGCTCAAAATGTAAAGCAAAACATACACCACCTAGGCTCTTACGAAATGCTTATTTGAACGACGTTTTATTGTTGATGAGGACAACTTATCCGAAAGAAAAGACGGACAGAAAAAGCTAAAAATACTTTAACGATGTCTATAAGACGGTAGTTGGATCTAGACATTCGCCAATATCTTACCACCAAAAAGAAAGAGCACCTCAGTCAATGTATTGGAACCGTTAAAAACGTAGAGCATATCGACCAGATCCGTTGGCTTCGTTGTCTCGTCAAGTGAGACACCGATTGCACCATCAGTGAAAAAGCTAGAAAGCAAAAATCAGAAATTCCTATATTTTTCTACTGAAAGAACCATTTCTACAACTGCATAGGACGTGTTTCGATACGTCTAACTAACAATCCACGATTGATTAGGCTATTTAAGGAAAAATGGTATACGGCGGTTCATAGTTCAAGATTACGAAAGGTAGATTATATTGGCACAGACGATGAAATCGTGATTAACTGATACATCAATACTACCTTTGCTTCCTAATATACTGGGCGCTTTCTAATTCTAATACGCACACTCTGCACCAGTGATGTATTCTCGAGCGAGTGTAGCGCTATGGGTAGAATGCTATGCAGTATACATGTGCTCGTTCGATCGACCTCTCCCTATAGACTAATTAAGCTACGCTCCTCCATACAATAAAAAAAAGCCCTCGGCGCTAATAAATTCCTAAGGGATGCGCCATGCACTCGACTTCATTAAGTATCGTTGGAGGCGAATGGATGCATATCTGGCCTTTACAATGACTCGCGGTGGCTTACCGATATATCGAGCCAGTGCTGCAATCCTCCTAGACAGGTTTGGTATCAATCTGCCGACCCCGGAAGGATGGAAGGCTTGGTGGGCCATGGGACCTGGGATCGATTCCACATCTGTCGCAGTGGCGCCTCCAACAACTGCGCCACACGCGCTCCTCTATAGGGCCGGGAAATTGCCATCAGATTTGTTTGTGAATGAACACACTGATATGATACTTCGGTAGGTCCATGAAAGTCATGGTATAGGTCAACAATGCATTTGATCACCTCATGCTTAGTGACGCAGAAATAACACAGCATCCATAAGAAGCCGATGGCTCATAATTTTATTTTCCAACATAATTACGACTAACTTCCCCTAGTACTTTTTTTCCAAAAGAAAAACGTAACTCGAAGGTCCAACAATAACAAGTTTTTTTCGTCGCAGACTGATGACTCATTTTCCATCCTCGTTTACATCTTGCTTCAACATCTCACTGTTAAGTAAAGTGCAAGCAATCGATTTTACATAAACATGTAAGATTTCTAACCGAAAATTCATTTGTTTCTCTTCGGCTCTTTGCTTGAATGCGGAGAAATCTCTGACAGTAACTTTCAGAGTGTCGAAGTAGACATTGTGAGCTATGTGATGACCAGCTTTAGTCAACTCTAAAATTATCATGTTTAACGTTTCTGTTTTCTGCCTTCTATAATTTTCATGGCAGGTTACTAAGCGAAATACAACCACAACGTTGCTGAGATATTTGCAAACTCTGGACCGCAGGTGTCTATGGTGGGGAACGAACGCGCTATTATCCTTTCCGGGGAGTAACGCG